ACATATGGCGTAAACTGTACTGATCGATGTAAAAGTGGTTTTTATGGAAGACTATGTAAAGAACCCTGTAACTGTCTACATTATCTCTGTAACGCCATATATGGCTGCCATGATAAAAGTATGTATGTTTCTGATATATTTCATACTTGAAATATAAAAAAATAACTTAATCAATCGAAAACATTTAGCTATTATTTCACTAATGAACATTTTTAAAAACATTTTTACAATAAAAAGCATACCACAAAAAATACAAAGAATTCCTCAAAAAAATTTTAGAGGAATAGATTTTCATGAAGAAAGTAAAAAAAAAATGACGCTGGAATGATATGATTTAATTTTGTTTTCTTTTTATTTTCTTTTTAATTTTTATTTAATTTTTCCTTTTTTTGTCAAATTGGTATATCCAAACTTCATTCAATGACAGTTCAGTTACCACAGTTTTGTCATTCATTCCCACAAAAATTGGAATGACATCTTCATCTTTGAAAAATACACTCTTCATTGCAATAGGATCTATTGGAATGCTCTTAATTATAGGAGTGGTACTTAATGAAGTCATGGTACGATTAGACATGTCATTATAGCTTTGACCTAAACAATAATTTCAAACACTTTACCTTTTAAATACGGTAATATTATAATGCTTTCATTTTCATCTGCGTGCAGATTTGCAATGGCCACGATAATGAAAGGTTTTATGCTTATAGGTTCATTAAAATGAAATCTCGTGCAGCAGGTAACCAACGAGGGTCATCAGGTATTCAAAAACAGAACGATCCAGAAGATTTGATATAATCTATAACATTTGTATTTTATACAAATGGTAATGTTACTCTATTCTTAACTTTCTTCTAATGTAGAAAATACTGCACTGGGGAACAATGATACTCAGTGGAATATAGACAATGACAGAAATGAAGAAAGCTTGCTGGATACAAACAGTGCACCTCAGAAAGGGAAACTGGAATACCACATAGAAGAGGTATAATGTGTGAAAGGTTATCAAGTAATAAAAAGGCATTCAAGTGACGCCCTGCACTAAATGATGAGAAAGAACTTTATTCGGTAATAACCAATATTTGCCCCCCAAAATCAAACTTTGATGGAGATATATTTAATTAAGTTCTGCACAGGGGAAAACGTTGCTGAGAAAAGAGAAAATGAATGATCATAAGTATTGACGCCATATGTACGTAATAACGTCACAAACATGACGTAAATTTCAGTTTTTTATGAATATACAGAAAAATGTACATATTTCGTCGATATTTTGACAAAAGAACAAAAGCGCATGTGTGTTAAGTAAATAATATTTGAGCAATGGCTTGTAGATGAAATATCAATGAATATGGGATTGTTCCTGAACAAACTTCGAAAATTTTAAAGAACATTGTTGAAAGTCCTTACAGTTTAATCTGAAAACGGATATGAAATCGGACTAGTTTGTGACTTCAGAAAGCAAAAATTTGAATACACTGCTTTGATATATAATATTTTCTGTTAATATATAGGAAAAAACAATTTATTGAATTCAGCACATTTCAGGAAGTTTTCAAAATTTGACTTTTTGGGGGGCAAATATATGCAATATACCGCATATAGTCCTTTTGAAATGAGCTTTATTGCTAGGTTTTACAGAAGTCAAGGCAAACTTCTCTTAGAAATGTTTCATAAAATATTCTTACAGGTGCTGGGGCGTATTTTAATATGGACAACTGCAGGAATAAACTTTCTGAGAAAAGAGAGTATGAAGCTGATCATACAGATTTAACCAATACCGAATTCAAAAAGATCGCTTTTGAGCGATTTTGAAAATTTTTCATATATAACCTTAAATGAGATTTGAATTTCCACAAACTAAAATGGAACAAATGTCTAATATTTTAATTAAAAATAAAAAACTTTGATTTACTTTACCTACGACAACTTTGACTCTCTATAAGAGAAAAGAGGAGTGAAAGATTTGATTAAAAAAGAACAAGAACAATGCTAAACAATTTAGAAAAGTTTTGTAAAGCACATCTTAAAAATTACTATTGTTTACATATTATAGATAAAAAAATTAACCAACATTTTACACTCAAATTACCTTAAGTGAAATTTAAAATCTTTAGGTGAAAAGTGAAAAAAAAACATGATGCACACACTTTGAAGATGTCGAAGATTCACATTTCAGCTTCCGTCTATTAAACAATAAAATTGGCTTTTTCAGACCACATCAATTTAGTTACTGATAAGAAAGGTAAAAGAGAATGGGATCAGCAGTGCCATATAGGAGTAAAGCATCATTTAGTAAAACAGAGAAAGACATCCGCCAACTGCTCAGATAAAAAAGAAAAATTTCAGATAATACGTAAATAAAAAAATACGAGTAAACAATATACCAATTAGTTTGAAAAACGTTTAGCTCACATGGTTCATAATTCATATCTAATGTCTTTATTACTTATTTTTTAGGGCCATTTATTAATTCTATTAAATTTATTTATTTTTAATTTCATAATAAACGTTCCTATTTTCATAAATATCCCTATAGGAATAAACAATCAGCTACAAGGTTTTCATTATTTTTTTTTAAAGAGAAAACGATCATTGGCTTTTATGCCTGCTGTTCAATCAAATACATTTTAGAAAATATATATTATAAAATACCCGATCATATTTTTCACAATGAAACATATGGAAATAATTAGAAGTAATCAAAATCAAAGGTGAATAAACAATATAAAATAAGAGCAGTGTAAACACGGCATGACAAGGAGCACACGGCGGGTGTAACCGGTAGGCAGGGGATGCTCACTCCTCCATGGCACCTGATCCCACCTCTGATGTTTTGGAGGTCCGTTTCTCTGCTCTTATTTTGCATTGTTTTATGGACTTGATCCATCTTAAATAACGTTCGTTAATTTCTTATGCTTAATTGAAAGGATTCTTATGAAGGTTTGGAATCCAATATAGATACTGTTTTTCAAATTCTTCTTTTTTAATTTTTTTTGTATATTAAAAATATTCGAAATTGACATATGACTTTGAAGAATTTTCCTAAGAAAGGGCACTATAAGTGTAAGTTGGATTACCAATTGTAAAATTAAATCCAGGTTCTTCTAAAATACAATTTCTTTAATGTGCTTTACATAGGAAGATTCTCACTATGTTGTTACCAGCTTTGTCGGCAGGGATAAGCACAGTTAATGTTCAAACAATAAAATTGCTTTCAGAGCCACCCGCAGTTGTCCAAAAAAAAACAGACTATGACAGGTACACAATATACGTCATACAACATTTCTTTAAAATACACAAAATGAGTTTATCTTGTAATTTAACCAGGAAAAATCATAAACTTAGCAATAAAAACTTACTACAGCGTGATAATTCATTGTAATGTCTTTATTGTCTATGAAATTCTTTACTTTTAATTTCATAATAAACGTTCCTATTTTCATAAATACCCCTACAGGAATAAACCATCAGCTACAAGGTTTTTAATATTTTTTAAAAGAGAAAACAATAGGCTTTTTTCTCAACAAAAATATGATATATTTTCTATATTTTTGAAATAAAATATGGAAATGATTACAGATAATCAAGACCAAAAGCCCATAGAACAATATAAAATAATTCAGAGTCGGCATGACACTATCTTATTAATATATTTTCTGTTACCTTTGATTATTGGAGGTTCAATTGACACTGTCGTATATTTGTTTTATGAAATCTCAAATAATATTCGTTAATTTCTTATGTTTCATTGAAGGGATCTTTATGAAGTTTTGGAATCCAATATAGATATTGTTTTTCAAATTCTTCTACCGTTCACGGTAGGTATCTGAAAAGTGCTGCGAACCTGATAAAATCTTAAAAACAATTTAATTATACCGCGATGTCTAGTCGTTAAAGTGGGTAGCAACTGTTCCTTCGCCATAGCTATAACTTTGAAGTGAAATTGCAGAATTTCAGGATGAGACTTTTAAAAACCGAGGCCCCGTGTCAGCGGCAGGCGTTGAAAATAAAGATACAAAACTTGGAAATTCACAGCTCAATGGCCCTGAGTGCCGAGTAAAGGTCAAAAGTTCAAGCCCTTCACCGGCATACGGTGACGTCTCCATATGAGTGAAAAATTCTCGAGAGGGACGTTAAACAATATACAATCAATCAATCAATCAAGTTCTTCTTTTTTGTAAGTTTTTTTTTATATATTAAAAATATTGGAAACTGACATATGTCTTTGAAGAATTTTCCTTAGAAAGGGTACGATAAGTATAAGTTGGATTACCAATTGTAAAATTAAATCCAGGTTCTTCTAAAGTACAATTTATTTAATGAGCTTTACAGAGGAATACTCACAATGTTGTTACCTGCTTTGTCGGCAGGGACCAGGAGGTACTGATCATGTAATCTATCTAATTCTTTTTTCACTCATGGATTATTGAACAGAAGGATAGATGACTTTCATATTGCCTGTCAATCATTTTTTACGCAAGTGTCACATGGATGTGGAAAATTCTTTTCATTTTTACAAAGTTGCAACGTCTTTTTTCATTTCTGGTTTATCGCTTGTCAAAATCGTCTACAGAAGAATGCAAATCTATGAAAGTCTGACGCCAGTTGAAGAAGCAAAGTTTCTTATATTTTGAACCTTTAAAAATAAGTGATCTACGGTCCTCATTAACTATATTTACGTCACTTTTAAAACGTGTCCCGCGGGACTATAGTTATAGGGTAAAGGAGAACAGGAACACGAGGAAGGATTATGTTTCAGAGAGATTATCTATATTATGGTGAATTTAACACTTTTTCAAACCGTTTCCAATATGCTTTTATGTAACACGTGCCCACTTTCTACGCTATTAATTTGACTCATCATCGAAGGCTCTAACATTTACAATAATTGGTTCTTCTAATCATATATTTTTCCGAATCAAAGTAGTTGTAAATGTTTAGCTGACCCACTTAAAGCAATGAAAAGTTACATAAATAAAATGAGACAGCTGTCAATGTGACGGAATAGACTAGTACGAGATCGACAATGTGTGTTGTAGGCACCATTTTAGGATTTCTGATCTTGGCTTTCCAAAACAGCAACGCATGTGAGAAAAGGTTTGACTAAGACAACTGATGATGATTTTTCATGTTTTTATTGTCCATGAATATTTCTTGTCTTTACTTGTTTTCTAAATGATGCAAAATTTCTTTGATTAAAAAAAATAATATATGCTTTCCAAGGCCATATCAATTACTTTTATTTACATTGTGATTTAATTTGAAGTATATGATCAATTTGAAAAAGGAAAAAATGGAGAAGGAATATAAATAATTGTATCAAATTGTGTTAACCTTTTTTTTCAAGAGATGGTATTTGTTGTCTTAATTACTTCAGAAAAGGAAATATATGCCAAGGTAAAGATGCTAATATAATTATAACCTATTGATTAACTTCCTTTAACTTTTTCTGATAAATATATGTAGCAAAGAGCTTGAAATAACAAAATGTCCAGGATAAGGTATCTTTTAGCAAACGTTGAAGCAAAGTTTCTGACATTTATCTGTTTGTACGGTATCTTTATTTCAATTATGGGAACATTGGAAATAATGAGTAATAAATGACCCTCTTTGTAGAATGTCCGGCTGGAACATATGGTGTAAACTGTAGTGGAAAGTGTGTTTCTGGTTACTATGGGAGATTTTGTCTTGAACCCTGTAACTGCCCAAGTCACCTCTGTGATAGAATTAATGGTTGCCCTAAGAACTACACGCTTCTTTATACCAGTACAGGTATATATTGCAAGAATCAAATATAAAAACTTATCATTAACATTAATGTCATAAGAAATTCAGTTTGGATCAAGATAATATTCAGGACCTCTGAAATAGACAAATAATCCTGCTCTACATTTTTTTATATCCTATACATGCATCAGTTCCTAAAACTCCGAAACGATGTCGGAATGGAATAACTTGTGGAGAGAGATGTAATTGCTCAGATGGTTCTTGTGACCTTGACTGTTTTCAAGGACTACATGATTCTACTCAATCTACAAGTACAAGTATGGTATTTTCTAAGCACTCATTTTAAGTCTGAAGAGTTTCAAGTTGATATTTTTAGAAATGGAGAATAAGATTATATTTTCATAGTACGCTTGAATACTTTGACTGCTTAGGATTTTTTAAAAGTTAACCTTTTTTTAAACCTCAGTTAAACATGGAATATCTGTGGAAAATTACTTTTTTTCAATAAAATACATAGCTATAGAAGGAAATTAAATTTTATCCTGCAAGCAGATAAGAATATTCATCGTTTTCAATGGATAAAATCAAGAAATCAATTTAAAATATACTGAAGAACTTTGGAATTTTTGAAAACGCATAAACAATAGCAAATGCAATTTAGTTCATTATTTATACACTAAATTGACAACGGATTTTTTCCGTTATTTCTTGATCATGACAAGGAGCACACGGCGGTTTTGACCGGTCGGCAGGGGATGCACTCTCCTCCATGGCACCTGATTCCACTTCTGGTGTTTCGGGGGTCCGTGTTTGCTCTGCTCTAATTTTGTATTGTTTTATGGACTTTGAGATTGAATACTGTTCGTTATCTCCATATCCTTCATCATTGAGACAAATGCTGACTGACGTTTTTCATACTTATTGTTATTCCATTATTTATACACTGAACTAAGGATGGATTTTACTCCTTTATGGCACCTGATCCCACCTCTGATGTTTTGGAGGTCCGTGCATCCTCTGCTCATAATTTGCATTATTTTATGGACTATGAGATTGAATGCTTAATTTTTTGAAATCACTTTCAATATTAGCTTTGAATAATTAAAAAGACAGATAAATGTTTTTCTGGAAAATTAAATTACTACTTTGTGTACTTTGACTTTGTGCTGATTTGTCTTGAAAATCTTAGGGATTGTGCTGATTTTTATCAAGAAAATGGTAATAAAATAAACTATATCATATAAATTCTCAAAATTCCCTTCCAATTGTTTCTTGTACAAAAAGTCTACGAAAAATTAATTCGAAAGCAGGTCTCTAAAAAAATTTATATTTTCTGATAAATTCGGTTTGAATGATACTGTTCTTGCAATGTGATCAATGAATCCAGTGTTGAAAAGTGTAAAAACTCGCCAAAACACAGACTAAGGTAACAGATGGATAAGGTACGGTTACGTAATAATATGAGGAGGTAGGTAAAATACTTGTTTGATTAAATACAATGTACATTATTCTCATGACCTGTGTCAATCCTCTTATAATTTGAATGCATTTATTCTTACGGAGAGGCTTTGACAAAAATTACATGGGTAAAACTTGTTCTATGATTCATATCATATATTTTATCAGATTGATAAAGGATGGGATATTACGGATATTGAAGATAAAACATGATCAGTTAAGGACTTTTTTAAATACACATTAAGGGCTTTTTAATCACTTTAAGCCACGCATGTGAAAATGTTACCTACAGATGATATTAAATGGCAGAAGATTTTCTTCACTCTGATGGGATTCATATTAGTGGTCCTAGTAGCAGCAGGGTTTTTATACTACAAGTCAAGGTGAATATCACATTTAATATTCCATGGAATAATCGTATTGTTTTCATTCTAAGCAGTAAATTGCATAATGACTTTTCATGATTTTATGTTATCATTAGAGAAAAGAAAAGAAGCCAAGCAGGACATTTTCAGGAAACAGGTTATTTATATTTCCAAATACTGTACTTGTAAGATGTAAATGATTTCAATCTTAACATTATCGTCAAGTATTTCATTGCTAGTATAAACTAAAAATCAACTAAATAAGAAATTCAGTACCTAATCCCACCTATGACGTTTAGGCCCTATTTTGTATTTTTTTTTTTAGACTTTTGCTTTTGAAAACTGCTCTTTATCTCCGTGTGTTTCATTATAAAAATTTGTCAAACATACCAACACAATATTTTAAATAAGAAACATAGATTTCTTTAGTTTAATTCCAGTATTAAGGAATTTTAAAAGGATAAACATACATACAGTCTACGTTGTGTATTCCATCGATTTTGATGCAAAAAAAGAAATTAATTGCTTATTTCATTTTGTTTAGATTCCCAAGCCGACTCAGTAGAACATAATGATCAAACGGTATCAATGGTAACTGTACATACAACTCCGAGAACGAATACAGATCTAGATACAAATATCTATGCAGATATAAGATCCTCTCAAATGATGGAATCTCAAAGCTATTTTTTCACCCAAAAGAAACAATCTGTCTATCAAAAAGGAGGGAGAGGGAACGGATTTAGCCTTTGGGAATGATGAAGACTGTAGACATGTTTTGCTTGAAAATTCCTGTGAGAGATCTAGAGGTAGAGAGGAAGAGATTTTAAAGGACGATAAACAGGGAAACGATTATGGTATTTTTGAAGAAAGCTGTCAGTACAGCGTGTTGTCTTTAAGAAGAAACTTCGATCCTTCTGAAATGGAATGTTATGCCATGAACCGATCACTCCATCGTCAGTTTTCACACAACAATGACGATCCATATTGTTTGACAAATGTTTGGATTTCTGAAGATCACCGTAGTCTAGACGACTTTGATTCAGACTCTGATGTCAGTTTATCCTCCAAGCACTCCGAGGATGCTTCTCAGAAAAGTAAAGGATCCCAAATACAGGATGAAACTCAGCCGTTCAATTAACTAAAATCTTTCTAAAATGTGACTGAATGACATTCAGTGACCTGTCCACAACAGGAATATGATTGAAGTACTTAGTATTTTTAAAGATACATGTAGTTGTTAGTATTTGGTGTTGTCCTTAAGAGGATACTTTGATCCTTCCGAAATTGAATATTATGCCGTGAAGTAATCACTTTGGCGTCTCTAAACACACAGCAATGACAATCCATATAGGTTGATAAATATTAAGTTTTCTGAAGATCACAGTCTGGATGATTCAGATGTTGGCTTCGATTCGAAACACAACGACTACAAAAAAGAAAGTAACGGGTTTCAAATGTTACATTTAAAAAATGATTCAGAAATTTGAATAAAGCATAAATAAACAAGGATTTATGCTTGAAAGATTAGTCCATTTTAGTAACTTCATTTATAAATTATTGTTTTTGTTAATGCAAAGCCAAAAAGGTTTTAACTAATAATCCATTTATATAGATATAGATATTGATTAATTGTATCACACATTATCGAAACCAACTAGAAATTAGCTCTCATTTGCTGTCAATATGACTGAAAATATATTTATATTAGATAAAAAATCAATTTTATAAAAGAAAGAAAACATTACATTGATTTTGTTTCTACTATTAAACATTGTTGGAGGAAGGAAATTATTTGTGACAAGTATGGAAAAAAATTGACGAGAATTTTTTTGTTGCTGAATGTTCTAGCAAATAAAAAATATGCTATTATGATAAATCTGTGTGTCATTTCAACCATTATGCTTAATTACACTGATGTTAAGTATATTTTTTTTCGGTTTTCAGAAGAAAGATTTCTACAAAGGGATGTGAAGTTTTATATAAGAAATCAATATTGTACGGGATTATTTTGCTCCAATTAAAGCAGACACGTAGTTTTTCTCCTGAAATATAGAAAAAACACATGTTTATAATTTTTTTTTCTGTCATTTAAATAACTAATTACAATTTTGCAGCAAAAATTTTCGAAAAAAGAAAAGGAGGAGTGAGCATTCCCTGCCGACCAATATCAATTGCTGTATATCTTTTCTTATGACAGAGAGAAAGCGGAAAAATCTGTACACATTTCAGTGTGCAAATAATTGTTATGGCCTTATAGTGTGCCAAATGCCAGTCAGTATTTGATTGAATGCTAAGTTGCTTCTGTAACTAGATGACTGCACTGACCATAAAATTTACAAACTAATGACATAAAACGACATCGTTGATCATCTTGTTTCATCTATTTGTTTGTCAAAAACTTTATTACGAGGGCCGTTCAAAAATTACGCGGACTTGGTGCACAGAAAAAAGATATTTGACTACATAATCGGGCAAAATGTCACACATAATATAAAAGAATCTTTACTTATATGGTCTTCAAAATTTCAAATCAAAATGTTGTAAATTGGTATCAATTAAATAGCCAATTACAACTATTGCGGAGCAGCAAAATCTTCGACGTCACAAGCATTATAAAAAATATGTGATCGAGCTTTCATTTTCTGAACATTTTTCCAAGAGTGCCCCTACAGTTTGAGTTACCTTATCTACTCAACATCCAAATCCCATCTCTTGTCAATCTTAAAATCTACTTAACAAGTAAACATTATTCTTTTTTTTGTTTTAAAACCAAAAACTGCAGGTATTTATTAGATATAGCGTGACATTGGTCACTCTCAATCACTTTCTTTAACGTCCGGATCTGCTGTCCTTATAGCCTTTTTACAGAGGTCTTTAAAATTTCAATAGGTTATTTGTGAACAAGTGTCAGATACCCTAGTTTACTACATGTTTTATTATGCATATTTTGGAAAATATCTCGAGCATAACACATAATTAAACAAAAGTGTGCAAATTTTCACAGTGTTTTTACGGGGATCGCATAAGAGAAAAATCACCATATTTCTGTTACTAGTATCATGTCAGAAATCTAAATACATAATAATAAAACAGTTTAAAGATATATTTTTAAAAATTTCGAAAAAATCGCGAATTTGCTTTAATGAGTTAAAACTGCATGCTTTTGACTGCATCTGATATCAACATAATAATTTTAGTAGAATAATTCTAAAATACAGAAATTTTGCCTACAATTTATCGAAATCTTTAGGATACACATTTCTGTGAAATTTCATAAATATATGACGTCTATAAGAGTAAATAATAGTACAGTACGCGTAATTTTTGAACGGCCCTCGTACATCCTTCTTTTGTTCGAACGTAGAACATATCTAATCAACTGAAAGGTATACATCCCATGTGTTAAGCTAATATTGGTACATAAGTCAATGAAGCTGACGATTTAAAAAAAAATTGAAATCATATGTTGGATGTTAAGTCACCATTAAATTCGTTTCATTGTAAATATCTGAAAAAGAAAAGTAAAGGAATAGAAAATCCGTTCTAGTTTCTGACTTTTCTAATCGATTTTTTCTTTATCCTTGATCACTAGTTGTCTTTTCAGTTTAGTGCAGAATGTGTAAATCACCCTTTTTTACATTTACTTTAGAACCTAACATTACGACAATATCTAAAGTTTGTATTTCAACGAAAGATTAAACAATTTTCCTGTTCAACAAGCTGCGTTCAAGTTCATCGTTTATATCTACATTTTAACATTACTTAGATAGACGATCAGATGATTTTATAAATGTTGATTTTATGTAACAAATCTTTCAGATTTAACTTTAAGAAATTAGAGTTTTTGAAAGAAAAAAAATAATAGTTGGTTAGGAATATTAATAGGTGATATATAATTTTATAACTAATGCGTGTTTCCTGCTTTTAAGGACACTAAAAAATAGAACTAGTTTAATTTTGTTAGACATGATCAGATAATTCATTACACCACGACTTTGTAGGAAAAAGGACATGTACACAAACTATTTGCAGAACATGTTATATAAATATTACAGAATAAAATGCATAGAAATAATTGTAAGTGATTTTTTTTTGGTGTGAAAATACTGATTTTTAAAAAAAATATTTTCATCCCTAGTATTACTTTTCATTTCAACATCGAAATAAAAGCTTTTTTAACAATTACCCTTTTAACAAATTTAAAAAAAGGATTGATTGACTGTATGTCGTTTAACATCATTTAAAATCTGATTCGAAAAAGAATCACTCAAATAGGGACGTCACTATCTTTTACTAGGCACACAAAGCCATTGAGCAGTGATGGATCTTTATTGGTTGAGGAAGACACATTTTCTGACCTTAAAAATTTAATATACAATAATTTCCTTCTTACTTGTAATTATATATGTTCTGACCTTATAAATTTCATTTACAACAATTTTCTGCGTATTTGTAATTATATCTCTTTTTAAGTTGTCCCATTCAATACTTTCAAAATAAAAGTACAGGATGACTACTTTTTCAAAGAGCCTCTACAATTGTTTTCTGTAGCTTACCACAACTTGGGCCCTCAGATTAAATTAAAAGAAAAACACATTTATGTTAATTCGTTAAATGTATTTGTCATCTTGCATTGTACACACTAAGAACAGATGATCATATGTTTAAAAATGACATTGATAGTAATTTATCTACCAGGCTCTCTGATAAACGTGATGGCTTTAATTTTTCTATCGGTAACTTCCCTTATTTATGAAGTAATATACCTTCATCACCTGCATATGGAATTGATACATATCAGTTAATTCGATACGCAAGAGCATGCTCTACATATATACAATTTTTAAAATGACGTAATTTTTTGAAAAATTAGATGGTGAAACAAGAATATCAGTTGCCCCGTTTGAAGTCATCATTTTTTAAGTTCTATGGTCGATATACTGACATTGTCAGCAAATAAAATTTATAATTGAGTCAAATGCTGACTGACATTTTTCTTAAAACTTGTAAGAGTCCATTATCTGATTATTTATACACTTAATTGACGAAGGATTTTTCTGTAATTTCCCAATCATGACAAGGAGCACACAGCGGCTGAGAAGGCTAATTCCTTCATGGCATCTGAACCCATCTTTGTTGGTTTTGAGGTCTGTGTTTGGTCTGCTCCTTTTTGCATTTTGATATTTTTAATCTTCAACATGAAAGATAAAATTTATTAAATTACTACGCCTTTTGAATGATTGGTGTTCCTTATATTAAGGATCTTTTTTAGATCAGTGATCTACGGTCCTCATTATTAACTAAATTTACGTGACATGTAATAATGGGTCCATCAGGACTATACTTATAGGGTAGCATGAACACGATGGAGGTTTATGTTTTAGATATTCGATATCCAGGCCCTTTGAAGTTTCCTGGTAACTTACAAAATGGGAAGTAATGGTCGATGTATATTTGTAGGCGATATAAGGTGCAGTCTTAAACTTGTAATGTTATGAATGCAAGACTGAATCCTTCTGTGATTAAGAATATTACTTATAATAAATGCGTCATTGCTTTTGATGAAATATTGAAAATAAAGGCAAAGACAGATTGTTTTAGCTTCATTAACCTAAGTAATACGTGAAGGGTGTTTTGGTTATGATTTGCAATATCTATAGTCACAGATTCTGGTGTCGATTTGTTACTGATATATATGAATAATAGATTGTTGTCCGCTCCAAAACCGCTTAAATATTAACTCCCCTTTTTAAAGTACACATACAGTAGTTAGTTTCATAAGGATATTGAACTGTTTATAGCATCTTTAGATGTAAATTGAATTAATTTATTTCATGTATTACAGTTGCGCAGCACTCTTTAAAATATTTTTAAAAATCATGTCTCGCTAGTAAAACAATTTCAAATCCAGCTACAAAATATTCATTTTTCTGTTTTTACATTTTATTGTCTTTGTCAATTCTCAAAACAGTGTTATTGTCTTTAGGATTATTAATAAAAATCGAATTTAGCAATATATTTGGGAAGAAATTAGCAGTTTCCGTCAAGATGATATAGCTGACATCTCTATCGTACAAATTGTATAACAGCCATACCTGTATATTTCAGTAATTTAATTCTGTGACAAAATATAAAATATCAAGTTTATTTAGGAAAGAATTTCACTGTTGACAACGTATTGATGTTATACTGTAAGTCAAATAAGACAAAAGAGACAGAAAGAAAGAAAGAGAGAGAGGGAGGGAAAATCATTAGCTCCGAAGTGCAATATTCATATCGACTCGACATTTGCCAATTAGTCGCCCCCGCTTTCACTGAAAGTGGGGGTTATTAATTTTGGTTTGTCCGTCCGTCCGCCTTTTCGTCTGTCTGTAACGCTTTCGTTTCCGCACGATATCTCAAGAATCCTTTATCTTTTGCAATGAAAAATTGCATAGCAACTTCGTATGGCCCCCCCAAAAAAACCTTTTGATTTTGAGGGGAAAAAGTCAAAGGTCAATGTAATAAATTCTGTCTTTTCTAAAAATTTCGTTTCCGCCATATATCTCACAAACCCTTTTGCTTTCGCAATGAAATTTTACATAACAACTCCCAGTGGCTTATGGAAGACCTCTCTTGATTTCGAGGTCAAACGTCGAAGTTCAAGGTCGTAAATTTATACATTCTGTCTGTGTGTAACACTATCGTTTACGGACGATATTTCAAGATTTTGAGCTTTTTCAATGAGAATTTAGACCAATATTCCCTGGGGCCCCTTTTATAAGTGTCCCTCCCTGGTTGTTTTATTAGTATTTATTGTATGAAATGTCGCTTGGCACTATTTTTAACACAGGGGCATGTGGAGAGTTTTGAGTGGCTTTTCTATTCTTACTATATCTATTAGAACTGTTTAGTAAAGTCTAAATTAGACATCATGCATTATGTAAAATTTTTACAATATCGAACGTGAATATATACATGTATGTGACCCAATATTTGCATAGAATTTACTTCAGAATTAAGTGACTCTGTGGTGTAGTGGAATGTCTCTCGCTTAACATGTAAGAAGTGCCGGGTTCGGTCACGGACAATCCATATTATTTTTGTTGAAATACTTTTTTTTTACTAAATGATGATATCCAGCATGCGAAATGAAAAAGATATGACGTCTCAAAAACTCATGAAATCATCATTACAGTGTGATAAACATTCCATATTTAAAAAAAAATTCTATATAAATAATAAAGGATACCATCAATCAGTCTCGTACTAATTGTAATTATTCACACACTAATCGTACACTGTAATGAAAATCCTGCATCAAAGCTTTACATTTAGAAGTTTTATTAGTTTATCTCAACAATTTTGGGTGTGTGAAATGGAATAACAAATTTGCGAAAACTTCAAATATTTCTGTCCACATAAATGTTCTAGTGATACAGTACTTATGACTCTCAAATCAAATAGCACACACAGTGATGAGAAGGAAGAGGAACATGTTTATAAGTAGAATCTAGCTATATTTAGCATAAATATCTCTTCTCTGAAATCCTTGATATAGATGGACGTAGTACACTTAACAGATGAAATGGAATTCAAATGAAAATTCAAATTAATGTTAACTCTACAATGGCTGATATCTATCATCATATACTTTGTCTTCATATTTGTGTATGTATTTTCACAACAGCAACATGTGGTTTTATTTGTGGAAACAGGTGAGATTGTAGGTTAAGTCTATTATATTTTTTAATAAATGATAAGAAAAACTTCCTCAAAGGAATAAAACGCTGTAAAAATAATTCCTTAACTTTAACATTCATGCTGTGTTGGTCTTTTCAGATGCTGCTTGAACTATTACCAACATAGCAATGGATCGTGCTTAGGTATTTACACAATGCAAATTAGATAAAAAGTAAAATCAAGCTTAGATATTTCTAACCTACATTTAGACTATATAATCCTTTTTAGACTGCCCACTTGGGACGTTTGGTGTAAATTGCAGTGGCTTATGTGAAGAGAGATTCTATGGGAGACTGTGTAAATCGAAATGCAACTGTTCTCCAGAAGATTGTGACAAAGAATATGGTTGTAAGAAGAAGGAATTTGGTAGTTACTTTTTCTTGTTTTTAATGTTTCTAGCATCATTGAATTAAAATGTCTCTTCTTACCTTACCATATAAAAAACATCAACATGACCCGGTCAATATAATTTCACTTGTGTGCTGTGTAAATATTTCCTCTGAAAATTCTATTAATATAAAAATTTATAATTTAAACTACACTGAAACATATGGGGATAACGAACAGTATTCAGGATCAAAAGTCCATAAAACAATACAAAATAAGAGCAAAGCAAACACGGACCTCCAAAACATCAGAGGTGGGATCAGGTGCCATGGAGGAGTGAGCATCCCATGCCGACCGGTCACACCCGCCGTGTGCTCCTTGTCATGATCAGGAAATAACGGGAAAATCCGTCGTCAATTCATTGTAAAAATAATGGAATAACAGTTATGAGAAAAAGGTCAGTCAGCATTTGACTCAATGATAAATTGTATTTGTTGATAAGAAAGGATATATATTGATATATAATTGCTTTTTTTTTTTTACATATTTGAAATGATAAACTGTTGACTTAAGACTTAAAACAACTGGTATAGAATATCATCACATTGATGGAATATATGTGGGAAATACAGACACAGGAAAATATAAACAAATATGAAAATGATTCAACCCCCTGCAGTTCATATTTTTAAAAACCCGTGTTTGCAGTAAAGAAGAAGGTATGGTTTTAGCTTTATTGCGCCCTAAAAATGTAATGACATCAAAACGTTTTGAAACTGGCGTAAATATTAGTTAAATAAATGACTCTGATAAATCAGGAGATAATATGGCATGAAGGTTTACCATTCTGCAAATATGACGTCATTAATTTGAAGGATTTCTCTATATTTAACAGAAAAAGCCTCAAAATGACCCATTTTAAGGGTGATTTTCCTTTCGAAAACAGTGTCCACAGCCGTCGCCCACGTTAATTTTTTGATATTTTGGGCGAAATTCAATAACAAATCACATATCTCAAGATCTTTGTGGGCGATGCCTGTGGACAATGTTATCTGAAAGAAAATTCCATTGAAAATTGGTGTCTTCTGCAATTTTTTCAGAAAATACGGGAAAATGAACATGTTTATGACGTCATAATTAACATTTAAAAACACATGTGAGAGAAATGACTTGTATGATTTTTCTGCATTGAATTTCAATTATTTAAAAAGCATGAGTTTTCAACTTTTACACCAGTTTCATTTTTTAGAAAACCACAGGGCAAAGTTTGTATAGAAACCATACCTTCTTCTTTTAACATTTCAGCTGAGAGTAGGCTAAAATAGGCTTTATCTGCTTCTCAATCGCATTCACATTTATTTGTTAATAAAATTCTGTATTAAAAACATATCAGTTAAAGGATTTTGTCGGTTAAAATCAGAAAATTCTTAATCACAAGAGAATTAGTCTTGTATTTCATCTTATTTCTATTTGAAGACTACACCTTTTTATTTCTAACAAATATACATCTATTTCTGTTTTTAAACTTTTGATTACAAGAAAACTTTACAGAGCCTATAGAGATATCACTAACCTGAAATATAATTCTGTTGGACATGTTATTACTGTTTATGTAAATATACTTAATAAGTACCTTAAACCATTTCCTTATAAAGGGACCAAAAGTAAGAGAACCCCATCTATCAACTGGCGTTATAATGTCAATTAAAAAAAAATATGTAGAAGATTACGTCAAATAATCTTATTACATGAGTTAGAATAGATTTTTGTCTTGATGTATTATCCTTTGATTTTGATCAGAAAAAAATAATTTTGTGAGATTCTGATATTGTAAGCTCGATGGAATTAGATGTAGCAGGTGTAGAAAGTTTTGATTTGTTGTGTATGCAGCCTTGTAGAGCTCTGCTCCTAATTTGTAGTACTTAAATAGGCTTAAGATTATTGTTTATTCCTATTTAACTGACCTTTCATACGTGTACTCTTTTTAGCAGATAAACAAGCTACTCTGTCACTGTCTGATAAGACGCAAGAAAGATTACCCTGTGCTGCTTGCGATCAGCCAAAAGATCAAGATGCTCATAACACAGCTAAAGGTATTCCAGGTGTACAAGAAATCAATCCCCATAATATAGTATATTAATTGTTCTCAAATAAGGCATAAATATTCAACAATGATATATTATATTTTTTATGCATCAACAATTTTCTCTTATTGCATTTTACTGAAATTAAAATATGATGTCATAAAGTAATACATATAAATTATCAAAATAAAAATACATTACCCTGAAATATTAGGAGATAACGAAATTATTCAAGCTTAAATGTCCATTAAACAATAGACTGGTTCAATTGCCATGGAGCAGTGAGCATCCTTTGCCGACCGGTCACACCCGCCGTGTGCTCCTTATCATCAACAGGAAATAACGGGAAAATCACTCGTCAATTCATTGTACAAATAAAAAAACTACATGTAACAATAAATATGAAAAACATCAGTCAGCATTTGACTTATGGATAAATTGTATTTGCTGACAAGGTCATGGCATTGACCATAGAACTAAAGAAATTATATGGCTTCAAACAAGACTGCTGATATTCTTGTTACATAAACTTGTTTATCAATAAATTACCTCGTTTAAGAAATTGTACATATGTAGAGCATTCTTTTGCATATCAAATCAACTAAGAGATATAAAATAGTAATTATTGCAAATAATTTCATTTATGTGACATGTTCTTGTTTTATTATGTTATTATATAACAGTGTCTGTATTGGACATAGCTTTATACGAAGCAGCTATTCGGTTCTTTTTTGAACTTATTTTACCCTTTTCCACGTGATCATTATTGATCCGTTTACCAAACGAGAAACCATGGTTTATTGAACTGCTGAATTTTTCGAACCCACCATCCACCCCTTCTGCCACCAATGCTTGTTATTTCTTTCAGGTTGATATTTTTGTTGTTATGTTTTACCCATCCTTTTTGATAGTGTTTGAATGGGTTTAAAAGAGATTTATGGTACTTATTTCTACCGCACGTTCTTACTGAACAAGTAATCTTTTTGTACATTGTAATAAATGGCAAATCCATGTATTAGGTTACTGAGAATGAGTCCGACATTTATTTTGTGTACCTCGCAATTTTGCTTATGTCTGCAGGTTTCCATATGATTTTTTAGCAGTGTGGCTTTTTATATATGGTTTTTCCTCGGCGGTGAGAGAAACATAGTTATGTTCAATTTAATGCCTGCGCGATTGTATTATTATTGGCTGTTTGTTATTTTGGTTTCCCACCTTTTTTGATGACAGGCAGCAGTTTAGAGCATTTTGTATATGTCTTCCAAACTTATGATGTTTATAAGGGGGTCAACTTAAAATGCATGTATATTGTATCCTGTGAAAGATTACAGGGTTTGAATTATTATTCTAGTCTGGTTGACCCCCCTTTTGCCTATGTACATCATGTTACAATGTCATTATGGTGCTGGGGGTCAGATTGTGTAATATTTTGACTAAGATGTGTAATACTCTATATTTGAGTCCTTCTTTTTCTGACCCCCAATTTGTTAACTGTGTTTTACTTTTCTGTCATTTACTTTAATAAATGACATATTTCACTTCAGCATGATGTTATTTGTTTTTGCCTGTTTATCAAAAAACAAACTCAGTCGTTTGGCAGGAGAACTAAGGAACATAAACAGTATTTTTACAAAATAATTTTGCCAATGACAAGGCAATTTACTTCACTAGTTCCATTTTTATTGAAAAAGCAGCTATCAATATTACCAAAAATATTTTGACTTTCATCCATCGTGGGGAATGGTTGTATAAATTTGAAAAGTAGTAAGTTTTTAAACTGTTGATTATGGTACATATTCTGATTTCACAATAATTTTCATAAGTTCCATGGAATTCTTAAGTATTTATACCTTATTTACACTACTTCTCAAATATAGAATTCTTGAAATTTAGTTTTCTTTATTGTTAATATCTTAGTTCCTTCCATCGCTATGTATCTTTATTTGAAAGAATTTTTATGGAGTTTCGGAATCCAAGATATATATATGGTAGTTCAATTTCATTTGGTTGTTTACGATATTAGTAATATTCACAACTGACACTGATGACACTGATACTGATTTTGAAGATTTTTTTTTTCTTAGAAAGGGAACTAGGGGTACAAGTTACCAACAAGAAAAAATATAAAATATTAGTATATATTTTGAGCATATAAATACTTATACTTGCTACATGTATCTTTACACATTTTTTTTATTGCTACCAAAAGAGTACATGCGGGGTTTTGTTTCTCACTATACATTTTAATTATTCTATCAAAAACATGGGAAAATATAATACATCTACCATCCGTAGGAAAATTTAATCAGAAATAATAATATTAAATAGTTATAAAATAGTAGTCTTCTTGTCTTAAAAACCTATAAACAAAACAAGGTAATCGAGTTTTCCTTTACCAAAAAATATAAATATTATAATAAATAATGATTATAGAATTAGACTTATGAAATACTATGCATATGTGAATTTGAAGGTATAATAAAAAGTAAGGGCTTACTGTAAAACAAAAATTAAGTTAATGCTTGAAATAAAGGGTTCATTTTTATTCATGCATTGGAACATTATCTCAAACCATAAAACAAGGGTTATAAACAAAGAATTTTATATTACAACAATCTACTTCATACTAATTTATTCAACATTTTTTTTATTACAATCATACGAAGAAGATACAATGGTAGACAACCCTGTGTGGGAAAATGTATCGTTCGCCTTAATCGGGTCTGTTGTAACTATTCTAGCAGCAGTTGGACTTGTTCTTCTCTTCTCTAGGTAATCTTCTATCTTGAAGTAAAATATTTTAAAATATAGATGTTTGTCGTTGTAAAAGTTTATTTTAATGTACTTTGAAATTTATGTTCTTCTGAAAAGTGCATGATATGATTTTTCTACCGAAGATTAAGAAAACCACACGATGAAGACCAGCATAAGAATGCAACCGTTGATGAGTCTACAAGTGAAGGTATATTGAAAATAGATTAAACCTTAATTTCAAAGTAATTCTAAAAAGACATTTATCAACATATAAAGTAGAATCCAGTCCCAACTTTATCATTATTAGGTAATCGTTAATAGAATATTATGAATATTTTTTTAGATATTAATCTATATAGAATTAAAATAATTTAAAAAATTATATTTTGAATTTTGAATAATGCATTTTTTTAAAGACGTCCAACAATCAGAACAACCTGTGGTTAATGCATCTCATCAGGGGATACAGAATGAAGTAAATGAAAATGTTTATGCTGATGTAAGATCCTCCAAAATGGTTAACGTTCATGGTGAAGGCTTCTCATCAAATCCTTTGCACATATACTCTAAGGATGATGTAACTGATGCTGTCCTTGAGAAAACAAATGGTAAAATGAATAACCCACAGGACAACAAGGATGCAACATATAAAGAAAAACAAACGTCAAAAATGAATTTACGGGAAAATGTATACGGAAACTTGGACGAAACCAGCCAATACAGTTTTCTGTCCTTACGACGAAATGTCGATGCCTCTGAAATGGAAAATTATTTTATAAAGCAATCAATAAGTCATGATACCTCTCAAAAGGATGAAGCTTCGTATTGCATAATGAACGCTTTCGAGACAGATAATCAACAGAATGAGGATGCATGCAAATCAGATTCAGATATTAGTTTGACCTCTGAGCCATATAGCATTGCAAAGCGAAAGTACGATGAGCCATAACTTCTGGAGGAGATAGGGATATAAAAACAATTCAGATAAAATAGAAGTCAATGATGATATAATCGGTTATGAGTGGTCGAAGCATCTGATCCCTCGGATTACGCTCATACGATACCTTTTGATTTGAAAACAGAACATTAACAAGTAAAGTAAATTTTACCTACCGGCGTGCCTTTTGTAATAAGCCTTACTATAGTTAGTTTTAATGAGCTCCTTACGAAAGGAATGGCACGCTTTTAAAATTATGTAAAGATTCATAAAGAGCTTTGTTCCTCGCCTTTCAAGCGGATTTTTGTCTTGACTTTTTTTTTAAATCTTGAATTCTTACAATAAATTTAGATTGTTTGATTTTAATTAAACTATATTTTATTCAACGATTTCCTTTTTATGCGTAAACATATAGTGATGAACTACATGTTTATTCTGTGGCGGAAGAATTTTTAGAAGTATATGATCATTATTTTACCTTTCAAAGTATTGACAGTATAATTAATTTTGGATTACTAATTTACATGCAGTCTGCACAAAGAGTAATTGTGTGCATTGAAATTTTAGGTTCTATGCTGGTTTTTAGTTATATGATATACTAACTGTCAAGAATTCTATTATAATATTTTACGACAAAAAAAAAAAATAAGAAAAAAAAGATATATCGAACCAGTCCATGGGGAAAATAATTTTAACCAATCTGAAGAAAATCAGAAAAAAAAATGTCATTACTTTGAAGTGATTTAATTGCTTTTTGAATGTTCAACACCAGAAAAATTAATAAATTTTGGGGAGCGGCAAGGTCAAATGATTGACTATGCGAAGTTATTTGAAACTATTTTTGTTGTCCCAAATTTTAACAGGGATGGCGTATTAGAAAAAAGTAATTGTAATTAATTACATTTTAAAAAGTAATTGAAAGTAATTTAGAATTGAGTCTGCTTTCAATTACAAGTAATTTAATTTAAATTTAATTTCATTCCAAATTAAATTGCATTTATTTTCAATTACTTTCCAACAAGGTTTCAATTACGTTTTTTTTTTTTTTTAGTTTAAAGTTTAAAGGTTCTTTTTATAATGCATAGTTTGCATTCCTCTTAAGATCTAAATATTCAATTAGTATGCATTTCCTCCGTTCATGTAATTTACCATTGTTAACCTCCTGAGCCCTCCATCTTATAAATATTCATACATGACACAGAAACAATAAGTTATGTTGCACTCTGCCACCACTTTGACTTTATCAACTAACCAAATTTTAATTACATAAAATGATAAAATGATGTAAATCACATTAAATGGTTATGTAATCATAACCTAATTAAAATTTGATATACAATTATGAATATTTGATTATTTACCCCAATAATATTTTAATCAATATTAATTAATAATTCCCATTTATATTCCCATTAATGATGTAAATGATTACATAATTGTAAACCAACCTATACCTTGTGGTCTGAAACCACAATACAGAAATAAATAAAATATGGGTTTATTCATTAAAAAAGGAAGGTGGAGGGGTGGAGGTGGATAATAATCGTAGGAAAATTTCCAACGAGTTAATTGTCCGGCGTCCTGAAAGAAAGTGGCGAACCCACGCTATCTCTAAAGAGACGCACCTTCAGTTTCCCGCGACACGATTCTATTGGTTCTATCCATCCGCACTCACATAGCTTACCATATAAGAAGATGCTATTGAAATTAAGCTCGAGTGTATCGCAAGAGCGATAACTCCAGCATTTGAGAAAGAAATACATTATCAATATACATAAAGTATTTTAAGGAACCTTAAAATTCTTTTATCCATAATTGACAATGTTCGAATCCCAACATTCCAATATAGCATCCTTCCATGTATATTCAATTAGTATGCATTTCCTCCGTTCATGTAATTTACCATTGTTAACCTCCTGAGCCCTCCATCTTATACATATTCATACATGACACAGAAACAATAAGTTATGTTGCACTCTGCCACCACTGTGACTTTATTAATAACCCAAATTTTAATTACATAAAATGATAAACTGATGTAAATCTCATTAAATGGTTATGTAATCATAACCTAATTAAAATTTGATATACAATTATGAATATTTGATTTTTTACCCCAATAATATTTTAATTAATATTAATTAATAAGTCCAATTAATTTTCCCATTAATGATGTAAATGATTACATAATTTTAAAGCAACCTATACCTTGTGGTCTGAAACCGCCATGTACTTGATTTAATCCCATAAATCAAGTTCAGACCCCAAGGAGAAAGGAAAAACCCACACCAGTAAAAAAATTTAAGTAAGTGGCAAAGTGCAGATACATCTAATAAGGCCAACCTTTTCAGAGAAATACATATGCTCTGAAAACCTTAGCCTTATTTAAAAAATTACAAGTATAACACATGATAGGTGAGGATACACATATGCCTCATCTATTACCTACATGCATGCAGAAAAATAATGTATATTTACATGTAACAGATGTTAAAATAAAAGCAGCTAAACACTTTAAACGGTAGGAATAAACATATGTCCCACCTAAATATTATCAGGAAATATACATATGTTCCTGAACAATTGGATTTTGCATTAATTACATCAATGAGTTTAAAATAGTAACCGTCACGATCGATTGAACTTAGCGGGAATAAACATATGTCCCGCTTAGTTGCAATGTTATCAGGAAATATACATATGTTCCTGAAACACACTTGTTTAAATGTCCATCTATCAATCACTAATGTCACTCTAAAGTTCTTAAATTTGTTGCTCGCTCGGTAGACCATATCTAATAGGCATTAACAAATAGCCTATTGATATTCTAATAAAAGTTAATTGGCCTGATGTAACTCTTGAATGCATCCGACTTCCATCGACCTAAGAGTCTAATTTTACTGTCACTCATGCCAACATCTGCACAATGTGATGCCATGCCTATCCGGAACGAATGACTAGTTATTTTATTCATGTCCATATTTGCAAACGATAAACAGTTTTTTAAGATTGTGGAGAATTTACACCTATTTACTGGAATAGCTGGAATATAGGAAAACAATGGCCCTTTTTGTGTCCCTCTTAAACTAATATAACTATGGAGGCATTGAACTGGGCAATAGTTTTTGTTGCTTGCTGAGTTAATTGTCAGAAAGAAAGGTTTACCCATGTGATGTTTGTAAGTAATAAATTTGATGATAATCTTGTCTTGTTCCATCTCAATCTGGTTAATATGGAGTAAATTCTTATTGATCACTTTCTGGGAAGATGTTATTTCTCCGATCCTCAAAAATCCATAAAATGCCAACAAAAACATTGCTTTAAACATGGCAGATTCAAATGCATTGGAAACTGTTACTGGTAACACATCGCATATTTGATGTAGAATCTTTTTGGTAATAGGTATCCTAACATCCTGTGTAGGTTTAAGTTTGCGGGTTGATAAAAGTAATTTTTGTATTAAAAAAGATGAACATGGATCCCCGAAGTTGTTAAGCTTATGAATGTAACTAATTGCCGAAAGATAAGATGTAATGGTCGATGCAGCATAGTCCCTCGAAAAAAGGTATGCGACGTAATATACTAAAATATGTTGTCTCCACCGGAAAGTCATATTTCTGTGCAAAAGTTTGAAATATCACCCATGCATGGGAGTACGAGGCGGTTGAGGAATTGGTGAGGCTGGAATCCAGGAGCATCTGTATTTGCCATGTTAATTCGGAAAATTTGGAAGTGGAGGCACGTTGACTGGATTTCTGTCCGCCCAGTTGTAAGAACTGATTTACCTTGGAACGAGAAAGACAATCACATAGTAAATTTTCTTTTGAAGTCAAATGCTTTGCTTTGAAATAAATGTTATATTTTAAGCATGTCAATACAAGTTTTCTCAAAAGAAACATGATATGCTTATCTTTAGATGTTTGTTTATTAATGACATGTACCAGTGCTTGGTTGTCGGTGTTGAACATAATGCATTTGTTACTCATAAATTTCGACCAGATTTGTACTGCCAGGACTATAGGGTACAATTCTAAGACTGCTATGTTTTGGTACTGCCAACTACTATTCCATTCTCCTTTAAACCACTGACTACCAAACACTGCAGCATATCCAACAACACCTGATGCATCAGTATATAACTTTAATTCACTTGAACTTATCCATCTATCAGGGAGAAACATTGAAGAACCATTGAAATTGGAAAGAAAATCTAACCAAACATTCAGATCCTCCTTAACTTCCCTTGTCATCCGAATTCTGTAATATTGCTTTTTGATTCCAATGGTCAAATCTATAAGTCTTCTTAAGAAGGCTCTACCTGGCAACACTACATTACAAGTAAAATTCAATAAGCCTATAATTGACTGCAGTTCTTTTAATGCTAACTTAGTCTGTTTCAAAGCAAACTGAATCTTATCAACACACTTGAAAATTCTGTCTTCTGGAATTCTACATTCCATTTTAGTTGAATCTAATTCATAACCCAGATATGTTATCACCTGTTTTGGACCACATGTTTTTTCAAGTGAAATAGGCACCCCAATATCTGTACACATAGCTAGAAAAGTTTTGAGCTTGTCGACACATTGTGTAGGTGATTTGTCTACAATAATAAAGTCGTCCAAAACATGTGAAATGCAAGATATCCCAAGTTTATTTTGCGCAATCCATTGCAAAGCTGTTGAGAATCGTTCAAATATTTTTCAAGATGAACTTAAACCAAACTGCAGACAGGTATCAAAATAGTATTTGTTTTCCCATTTAAACCCAACAAATTTGAACTGTGTATGGTGTAGGTTAATTATTCGAAATGCTGACTTACATGTAATATATGTTTTACAGCAGAATGCGCCTTCCCCACATTGTTTAATAAACTGAATAGCGTCTAAAATAGATGAGTATTGAACAAATGACTCATCAGGTGGTATGCCATCATTAATTGAATGGTTATCGGGATATGATAAGTGATGAATCATTCTATATTCCCCTGGATCTTTCTTTTCCACTAAACCTAATGGTGAACATTGTATATTAGGGATAGGCTTACTTTCAAAGGGGCCTCGGACCCTACCTGCCACAATTTCTTTTTGTATTTTTTGATTAATAATTTCAGGTTTTGCGAGTGCAGAATTCAAATTCTTAGATTCTATTCCCGGACATTCTCCTTCGAATCCTAAATAAAACCCATTTGCAAAACCATCAATTAAATATTTAGTTTCATATTCATCATAACCAGATAACCAGTGAGCAAGTCTATTTGCCTTGATTGGCGTAGGGCCCTTGTTTGGAAGATGAGTTTGTTTTTGTTTGGGTAGCTTGTTTATTTGTATTGCTTGTTTGGTTTTGGTATTATTGCATGACACGAAAGGGATGCTTAGTTGGTTTTGTCCAGTGAACAAATGGGTGAGCCCCAGAACAGTTATAGCATCTATGCTGAAAACGACAGGACATTCCAGCCTGACAGTGTTTACCTGAATGATATTGGAAGCAGGCACCTTTGGGAATTGATTTATACTGTACGTCTTTACTACCTTTACTTTGTTTTGTTGTCTGGCTTGTTGTCAGTCTGGCGTTGACATACAGCTCCATGTGGACATCCCCCCAGGCAACTTGTCCCTGGGCGACTAGTGTTCTAAAGTCCCGATCATAATCTTTCCAATTACCTTTTGCATCTGCTATTTCCCTGACAGCTTCTAAATGCTTTGCCAATTTGGCTTGTTGATCGGGATATTTCATGCAATAAATTGCTGAAAATCTGTTCCATGCTGTAAGCCAGTCATGCATGGAAGAGACAGATGTGTCATTTAATGAATCGTTGTCCACCTGGTGGATTGTCAACTTACCGGGACTGTCACCATCTTCCACTTGTAGAGAAAACTTACCTTTCTTTTGTTTGTCCTTAGACAGGAGTTTTAAGAAGTCAATATACTGGTTTGACCAAATTTTGGATTTGAGTTGATCAGACACCCTAGCATCTATTGGAACTGCCGTACTGACAAAACCACTGGGACTCTTACCTGCTATTTTTTCAGTATGGTTAATGACCAAGGCTTCAACCGACTGTTGAATAGCTTGGTCATTGGGTGCACATGCAGCAGCCGAATCTTGCCCACAAGTAACAGAATTAGTTAAGTTTGGATTAGTAATGACGGGAGCCCCCACAGTATTATTACTAATACTCCCCTGACTATTGGCTGTGGTGCTGGTCACGTTGCTAATGAGTGTTGACAACTCCTCTCTTATTGTCGCTGTGACCCGCTGCGTAACTTGTCTTGTGATAGTTTCCAGGTCGTCAGGGGAAAGAGGTGTTACAGTAGCTGTCGCCACCGGTTCCGTATTTGATCCATGTACCCGTCGTCTTTTGTTGTGTTTGGAGACAGGGATTGGTACTGCTCTAGCTTTAGTTGATTTTCTCTTAGGTGGCATGATTATAAATGGTGGATAGGCTACTGAAATACAAATAAACTGCCTTTGGTTAGTGTATATAGTTCCTTTCTCTTGAAGTTGACCACTATAAGTAGAAGGGTTAATCTGTAAACATCCGGTGACTATAAACCGGCAATGATATGAGCAAGCCTTAAAATTCCGGAATGTTGATCTGTAACTAATATATTATCCTAAACCACAAGTAATGGACTGATTACTCTGAAGGCATCACAGATTAATTCACAGAAACAAGCAAGTAATTTATATTATTATAATGTAGTCAAATAATCCTGAAAGCACAGTATACTTGGGTTTTTAATTGCAATTAAATAAGCCTCGAGGGAGGCGTAAATTAATCAAGTGAATAGTGCTACAGTGTAATTAAATCCGAGTAATGAGATGAGCCTCTGGGAGGCATAAAATTAAATATGTATACATCTCGGGAAAACACAAGTTAACGTAAATTGTGTTAATTCCCTTGCAATGAGATGAGCCTCAGGGAGGCGTAAGATAAAAATACATCTCGGGAAAACACAAGCAAATTGTGTTGATTCCCGTGCAATGAGATGAGCCTCAGGGAGGCGTAAAATAAAAATACATCTCAGAAATACACAAGTAAATTGTGTTAATTCCCGTGCAATGAGATGAGCCTCAGGGAGGCGTAAAATAAAAATACATCTCGGAAATACACAAGTAAATTGTGTTAATTCCCGTGCAATGAGATGAGCCTCGGGGAGGCGTAAAATAAAAATACATCTCGGAAAAACACAAGTAAATATTGTGTTAATTCCCGTGCAATGAGATGAGCCTCAGGGAGGCGTAAAATACAATTACATCTCGGAAAAACACATGCCACATGGTTTTAGTAGATAAAAAGCAATAAAATGAGCCCCGAAAAGGGGGTCAAGAATAATCCACCATTCAATTTGATTCTAATGCAGTGGGATGTGCCTCCAAGAGGCATATGTTAATTATAATATGTTTATTTATATATATTTTTAAAGTCTTCTCAGAGAAATAAAAGTAAATCCTTGTGATTTAGTCTCAACAAACTAAATAGACTTGAACTTCTCAAACAAATAATTTTTTTTTTTTTTTAAATCTAATTTTAATTTTAATTTATTATTATTATTTTTTTTTTTGAAAACATTTATTTGAAGGAAAACCTCGAGAATCCTAATATCATTGTAATTTTTTTTTTTTTTTTTTAATTAATTTATTTATTTATTATTTTATACATATTTTGTGACTTTGAACAAACTTTTTTATGAAACGAATGGAATTTTCTTTATCAACACATTCATCGCATTCTTGATAATATAAGACCACGCAAGCTCCGATATAGATGTACATTACCCTGCTTATTAAGGTGGACGCCGTCTGGAAGAAATTTATGGCTGCACGCCTTGCGATTGGGCGATGGGAAAAGGTCATTGTGATCTCAAAAAGAAGCGAATTTGAACTCTTGAAGAGAGGACTTCAGCAGAGCATTCACTTCGTCTACAATACCGTTGTAATTAAATGCTTGATTAAAACGTGGCAATAATTTGCACACGTGAATTTGGGAAACTCCAAATCTACTATGGAGAACCGAGACAGTGGATTCTAAATTCCCCGCAATTTCCTCGGGGGAACTGACACCTCGGACATCATTACCTCCAACCAGAAGGATTATTTTATCCGGTTTCACCCGTTCTATGAAAGTCGCATCTTGGCGGAGAATGCCCGATATTGTGCGGCCTCCAACACCTCTAAAAAATATTTGGTGTGTCGCTTGGAGGCCGAGGTCATCATTATATCTATCGTCAGCTTCACTTCTAAGGAATTGATGGAAGCGACGAACAATAGAGTGACCCAAAATAAGTATTTTGTTAGAATCCATGAATAAATACCAAGTAAAATTGATCTTACCGCTTAAAATCGAATAAAATTCGTAGAAAAATTTCCAACGAGTTAATTGTCCGGCGTCCTGAAAGAAAGTGGCGAACCCACGCTATCTCTAAAGAGACGCACCTTCAGTTTCCCGCGACACGATTCTATTGGTTCTATCCATCCGCACTCACATAGCTTACCATATAAGAAGATGCTATTGAAATTAAGCTCGAGTGTATCGCAAGAGCGATAACTCCAGCATTTGAGAAAGAAATACATTATCAATATACATGAAGTATTTTAAGGAACCTTAAAATTCTTTTATGTCGTATATTTAATTACAGTGCAGATAGGTCGTATTGCTAAAATAGATTTACAGATTCTCACTTTTTGCTTTGATTTTTTATTCAGCTACATTTGTGTAAATTCTAAAAATATACTTAGCAAAAAATTCTCAATACTATTGATGAAATATATAGAGGTAATGAACAGTATTCAAGCTAAAAAGTCCATAAGACAATACAAAATAGGAGCAGTTCAGACATGTACACTGGCCTCCAAAACATAAGATGTTGGATCAGGTGCCATTAAGAACACTAAATTGTCCAGAGGCCAATATCTTTGCAACTTATTTGAATTTCATTCTTCATCTTCTTATAACCTTCGATCTGAAAGTAAATATGATCTAAGATTGCCGAAATTTCGTACAAACTTATTCAAGACCTCTTTTCAGTATTCAGGTGTACATCAATGGAATAAACTTCCCCAACACATTAGACTCTCTCAATCTCTACGAACATTTAAGCGGAATATAGAAAATTACATCATCAGCTGTCGCACAATTATTTGAGCACAATAAGGTTTCGATATTGTATATTGTATTATGATTGTTAATTAACTATACATGGACACTATATTCATAATCTTGTGATTGTAATTCCTTAAACATATTACTATTATATATGATGAATTGTATTCTATATATTTTTGTATTTGATATATATAGAAGGCCCTGGGGGAGAATAGTGCATGCACTAACCAGGTTACGTTCTTTAAATAAAGTATTTATCATTATTATTATTATTAAAGAAACATAATTGATTGGTATATCTACAGTGTTTATAGAAATATTAAAACAAGTCTATAATATGTTTTGAGATTTACTATTAATAAACTTAATAATTATACTAAACTGAAAAGAAACTTGAATCAGAAAACGTTTGTTCTTAACATACAATTAAGGAAACATGTTATGCAACAGAATACACGTTGATTGGGAACCCTGGAGTGTTAATATACGATGTATTTTAAATAGCAGATTATCAGAATTATTCCTGTTTTTAAGCTGATTTTATTTCCAAATTTGCGACATGAAAGATGTTGAGATAATAAAAAGGACTCAAGGTAAAAAAATAAACACTTAAAATTACAAAAAAAAAAAAAGACAAAAAAACTAGTGGAGCAATCACGGACCTCAAAAACATATTTTTGGTTCAATTCCATTTCAATTTTTTAATTGTGTCTCTTGAATACAATGTACCTAACAAATTCTACTTAAATACCAAATCGAAAGAACCACTATGAAAATTACGAGAGGTAATTGAAATTTTCAGTAAAAGATATATGATTCGTAGAGCTTCATAACTATTGTATGCATCTGCTTCCAATTTAGTTTTCATGACAAAAGTTTGTTATACCAATCAGTACCAATGCTTTTGATATTATAGTTTTTGAAGACCATTGAGAGGAACTACATACTGTAGATTGGCAAATAATCACGATGGTTTTAATTTCGCTGTGTTCGCGATTCATCATTTTTCCGCGAAAATAAACCCATCGTGAATGCTATCATTACCTTTAAAAACCTTTAAATGATTGGAAGAAATTTTCTTACAGCGTGAAATTTAAACCATCGCGATTGGAACTTTCTGAGAAATCGTGAAATTTTAACACCGTGGAATTAAAACGGTTTACAGTAATTTTGATGACTATATCTCTCAAACTTCCTTCGGTGTGAGGGCAAAATGGAACTATTGTCGTTTCATATCAATTACAACAGTTTTGTATGGGGAAGCTAGAACAAAACTGATGTAACAATACCTAACTTTTTTATGATATCATGAGATTCTGTCAGAAATATGCAGAATTTAGCAATTTTCACTATCCTTGTACTTCTTACAGCAAATCACTTCTATGAATGTTGTAGAAACAGGTATGAAAATTATCTGTAATTACTTAATGCCGAACAGTTTGAAAGTTTCATTTTGCTCTCTGTTGGGTCGACAAAATATTAATATTGTTTTAATCACAGTGGAAAATGTTGTTTCAATTACTACGAAAATATGAATGGTCATTGTTTGGGTAAGTATATTTATGTTTGACTGTGAATATTATTAAGTAATTTATAAACATTATAGAGATGTCATGGGCGTACTAGAATATGACTATTTTTTGAATAGAATGCCCATTAGGCACGATCGGAACAAATTGCAATGGAACCTGTCCTTCTGGGTAGTTTGGAAATTTGTAATCAAAGGCACGACTGACCACTCTGATGATTACACGTGAATTAACAAGACCCGTGACGAAAACTACACGTGCATGAACAAAACCAGTGACCTAAAAACTCTTCATTAAACATTCTCAGTACGTTTTTTTCTGAATGTTTCTATTAATAGAGTTAATTCTCAATAATTTGGAAAACGTTTATATATGAAATCAGAAATAAATTAGATAAGTTCCATCCATAAAGGTCATCTGTTTATTGCGTTTGTTTGCTTAAAAACCAGGAAAAGGGTGATTTATTTTCATTAATTAAATAGAAGGAAATAGACAACGTTATGAAAACGAGATGACTTACATTTTATTAATTTTTCTTACTTTTGTAATAATAATTTTGTAATAATAACCCTGCACATGGAGTTTATGTTTTATGTTTCTTTTTACAATGCTATTAGCTATTACCAAAAGATGGACATCTACATTATGTGTCAATGTCAACATTTTGATATACGTTGTTGGATACAATGTCCTTGTCCGAAAATACAATCATTTAATGAATTTGAACGTTGTTGTTTCTCAAACTAATTGTCATTATTCATACAATAAATCAATCACAATAATGATGTCTTTTTATGTCGTTCTTTTTTCATCTTGAAAAAACTGTGATATTCTTTATTTTTCATCTTCTCTTTAAAATTTTCAATTGGTGGTTTTAGAATGAGTTGGAGCTAAACAAGAATTAGTGACAAAGTACAATTGATTACAGATTTGTTTATTATAAATGTAATTCTTTTTAATAGATAGAGAAGTAAATACAAAATTGTAAGAGAAGACGCAAGAAAGATCATCCTGTACTGCTTGTAATTGTTCAACTGCTTTTTGTGATCTGCCAAATGAGAATTTTAGAATTATAGTTGCTGATACAACTACTACAGGTATTTTCTGCATGTATGTTTCATGATTTTTAAAAATCTATTTAGGGAAAAAATATTGTAAGTGAAACTCATCAAATATTCCTCATCAAGCACTGATTATTGAATATTTTCTCCTCTGAGTCTCTCTCTCTCTCTTTTCTAATTTTCATTGCTTCCCCCTTCCTTGAAATCAAAACAATAACCTAATACATATAAGGTATCAAAATACATTTTACAAAAGTATGTATTATTTATAAATATATATATAAATTCCGCATTCATTTTTATTAACAAAAATATATTGCAGGGTATCGGCTACTCCTTAATTTTATTTAGGTGAATGATATCTGTGTGACAAAACAGAAAATTAATCTTACTGTATCTTCTATTACTTACAATAAAAGTTTAAAATAAAAATAAACAAGTAAATATCATTAAACTTGACATAGGACCTATTCAGCGTATCTCAGTTTAAAATTTTTGTTTAATTATTGCATTAAAATTTATCTTGTCTTTTCAATATTATTTAATCCAAAAAATTTTAATTACAATCCTATGAAGACGATAAAATGAAAGACAAGTCAGTGTGGGAGAATGTATTGTTCGCCTTAATTGGATCTATTGTAACAGTTATAGCAGCAGCTGGGCTTGTTCTTCACTTCTCTCGGTAAAGTGAATTGCGCTTCAAATTTGACTGTTTATATCTGAACTTTGAAAATTGTTATCAAAAGTACATAAAAATACATGATTTTTTTCTCTTCCAAAGTTTAAGGAAAACACATGATGACAAAAATCAAAGGAACGCAACTGTTGATGAGTCAAACAGGCAAGGTATCAAAAAAAATAAATCTCAATAATAACGTTTTAAAAAGAAAGTTATCACAAAAAGGAGTACCCAATAACATGCCCAAGCTTAAGATATTAAATCTAACAGTTGAAATAAAACTTTCATAAGTATTTCATTAAAAATTAATATGTATAGAATTATGATCAGCTGAAAAATTATTTCCGAAAGTAAATATTATATGTTTAACTTTGTTAAAAAAAGACGACCAACAAATAGACCCACCTGTGGTTAATACATCTCATCAGGGGATACAGAATGGAGTAAATGAAAATGTTTATGCTGATGTAAGATCCTCCAAAATGATTGAGTTTCATTGTGAAGGTTTCTCATCCAATCGTTCGCACATATACTCTCAGGATGGTAGAACTGACGCTTTTCTCGAGAATAAAAATGCTAGAAGGAACTACTCACAAGACAGCAAGGATGCAAATTATAAAGAAAAACAGACATCAAAAATATAGTTACGGGAAAATGTGTACGGAAATTTGGACGAAACCAGCCAATACAGTGTTCTGTCCTTACGAAGAAATGTCGACCCCTCTGAAATGGAAAATTATTTTATAAAGCAGTCAATCCTTCCCGATATCCCTCAAAAGGATGAAGCTTCTTATAGTATAGTGAATGTTTTCGAGACAGATAATCGACAGAATGAGGAGGCATGTAAATCAGATTCAGATGTTGGCTTGACCTCGGAACTATAAAGCATTGCCATGCAAAGTTATGACGAGTCTTAGTTTCTGGAGTAGATAGGGATACTGACAAAACTGAAAAATCAAACAGACCTCAATGACCATATGGCAGGTTGTGGCTGATTTACGCATCTCATCCATCAGCTGTAATTTTGAAGTGTCCATGTACACTCATACGATCCTTATTCAGATTTACAAACAGAGCAGTAACATGTAACGTAAATTTTACCTCCTGGCTAGCTTTTTAAATGTACTTTTGTCTATAGTTATATATAGCTCATTCATTATTTTCTCCTTTGAGGTATCTACAGCATAATTAATTTTGGATTCCTTTATTTTACTTGCAGTCTGTACAAAGAGTAATTGTGTACCTCGAAAAGTTCTATGCTGGTACTTATTAATATTTTTAGACTTACTGTAATGAATTTTATCATCATGTTTTGAAGATAAATCAGATACATCGTGACAGTCCTTGAAAAAATAATAGCCTTCGTCAAATTTAAAATTGACACTGTTTAGTTGTATCTGAAAATTAAAATCACATACCTCCATTTTTTATTTAATTTCATGATATATTTATAAGATAATTCTAACCATTCTGAGAAATAGAAAAACATTTTTTAATTTAAAATGATTTAATTGCTTTTTAAATTTTCAAAACTAGAAAAATATCACTTTTTGAGTGCAGCAAGGTCAAATAATTGACTGTGCTAAGTAATTTGAAACTATTTTTGTTGACACAAATTTAAATATTATTAATCAGGATTAAATTAAGAATGTGTTTGTTTCATTTGGATAAAAAATATTAAAGTAAAAGCTTTTTTATTAAGCTACATGTGTAGATTCTAAAAATGTACTTGGCAAAATTCTCAATACCATTGGTGAAATCTATGGAGATAACGAACAGTATTCAAGCCATTGATACTTGTTTCGTAAATAAAATTTTAACCCATAATAGGATAAAAGCACAAGGTATCTAACTCCAATTTACAAGAAATACCCCCCCCCCCCCACTGCAGAAGCATTCATTTAAAACTTTCAGAGGAAATGCGCTAGCAAACTGTTCCATGTAATTCGGAGTTAGATACCTTGTGCTATTATTATACTATGGGTTAAAATTTTATTTCCGAAACAAGTGCACATAGTTCAAGCTCAAAAGTCCGTAAACATTACAGAGAAAGCACTAGCCTCCAAAACATCAGATGTTGGATCAGGTGCTATGAAGGAGTGATCATCCTTTTCTGATAGATCACAACCCCGTATACTGCTTGCATAGCTGGCAAAAAAGCGGGAAATACTCATATAAATTACCCAGGACGGCTGGAAATACTGGTTATTCCAGGGAAATACTGGGAAATGAGGAAAAGCCAATGTTTATAACTGAATTTAATTATCTTGCTTGGGTATAGACAAGTAGTACACCTTATAGTCAAAGATATCAATTTTGTATCACTATTCAAGATTTAAAAACATTGGAAATAAGAGATTGCAGAGCTCATCTAAACGAATGCTGTCTTTAAGTAAGGCAAAGTCATATAATTCACCAGCAAAAAGTGATCCAAAAGTGCAAAATTTATGCAATTTCGATCTGATACTTTGGAATAGATCTATATATTAAAAACTTCAACCTAGTTACTTGTCATGAAAACGTAATTAAAATTCAGCTTCTGAAGCACGTTTGAGAGTTTTCACCCCTTGATGCATAATTTGTGCAAATTTCGTTTATATAAGCCTTATAGTTTCTTGGTAATAGACCTGCATCCATAACTTTTATCTGGTCGATTATCTAGAAAAAGTATGTCGAATTCAGCATCCGGAAATGAATCCTGCACACAAAACTTTAAGCTGTTCATTCATCCGGAAAATGTAGGTCAGATTCAGCATCCGAAGCAAATCTGGTAGTATGGATCCTTAGATGTATCCTCCATGCAAGTTTGGTCAACATAGGGCTTATAGTTACTTGGAAATGAGACCTGTACCAAAAACATTAACCTGTTCACTCATGCAGAAAATGCAGGTCAGATTCAGCATCCGAAGCAAGCCTGGTAGTTTGCATCCTTTGATGTATCATTCATGCAAGTTTGGTCTCATAGTTTGCTTTTATAGTTACTTGGAAATGAGACCTGTACCAAAAACATTAACCTGTTCACTCATGCAGAAAATGCAGGTCAGATTCAGCATCCGAAGCAAGCCTGGTAGTTTGCATCCTTTGATGTATCATTCATGCAAGTTTGGTCAACATAGGGCTTATAGTTACTTGGAAATGAGACCTACACAAAAAAAACTGCACCAAAATTGTTATTTTGTACAATGAAACACACTAGAAGCATCTTCCATACATGTCTAATCAATATAGGACATAGAAGTACTTAAATAGAAAATTGCTTCAAAAAACTTAACCTGGGACGCCGACGCCGAGGGTGTCACATCAGCTTCCCCAACTTCGTTGAGGTGAGCTAAAAAAAATGTCTTCCTTATATTACATTTTAAATAATTATAGAAACAGTATGCTTATATACCAGTTCATGAAAAGGGCACAAAGATATCCGATTTTAATTTCTTATAAGAAGGATATGGAGATAACGAACAGTATTCAATCTCAAAGTCCATTAAACAATATACAAAATAAGAGCAGAGCAAACACGGACCTCCAAAACATCAGAGGTGGGATCAGGTGCCATGGAGGAGTGAGCATCCCCTGCCGACCGGTCACACCCGCCGTCATGATCAGGAAATAACGGGAAGAAAATCCGTCGTCAATTCAGTATATGAATAATGGACTAACAAATAGTATGAAAAACGTCAGTCAGCATTTGACTCAATGAAAAATTGTATTTGCTGACAAGGTCATTGTATCGACCATAGAACTTACGAAATGATGACTATGATCGAGACTGCTGATTATCTTGTTTCATCAACTTGCTTGTCAATAATTTACCTCGTTTAAGAAATTGTTCATAAGTAGAGCATGCTCTTGCGTATCGAAGCAATGAGATATATATACTCCGTATGCAGGTGATGAAGGTATATTGCTGCATAAGTAAGGGAAGTTGACTATAGACTATAGAAAAGTTAAAGTCATCATCATCACGTTTATCATATAGCTTGGTTGTTAGATTACCATTACTGTCTTTTTCAAGTAAAATATCCAAATATGAAGCAGAAGTGTCGAACTCTGTGCTATCTTTTATCTCAATAAGAAAGGATCTAAGAAAATCGTTTACAGTAGAAGAGAGTGTAAATACCAAACATACTTGAAATCCTTTCAGTTCTACTCAACTTTACTATATGTTTCAAAACAGGAGCAGAAAATTTGAAGTCAAGCTATTACAGATTATCAATTTTATTCCTCTTCTGTTTTTACATTTATTTACTTCTGAACTTTGTAAAAGATATACATTAACTAAAACAAATAAATTGTAAAATTTTATATTTACCAGTTGTTTTCCAGTTTGTTTAATATTGTAGTATTTACTAGGACGGGAAATACCGTTATTTAACACTGGTAATTATCACCGCCGGTATTTCATGACTGACCCTGGCTCTTTGTCATGGTCTGGAAATAACAGTTAAATCTGTAGTCAATTCAGTGCGTTAATAATGGCTTAACAATTAGTATTAAAAACATCAGTCAGCATTTGACTCAATCATAAATTGCTTTTGCTTACAAAGTCTTTGCATCGACCATAGATCTTACGACATGATAACTGTAAACGAGATTGCTGATATTCTTGTTTCATCAACTTGTATGTCAATAGTTTATGTAAAACGTATAAAATCATCTGAGAGATATAAAACAAGTATGTAGTTGATGAAGGTATATTGCTGCATAAGTAAAGGAAGTATACGATTAAAAAGTTAAAATCATCACGTTTATCATCAAGTTTCTTTTTTAGACTGCCATTAATGGGTATCTGGCATCTAGTTAGGTTTAGTAAGCATTCCTGCTTACTTGTCACCCCTGATTTGACTCATAAAATCAAAACGTTAATTTTTATTTCTAGTCCAGAACACTTACAAAAGAGTTCATAATTTTTTTTCAACAGCATAAATCCTGAAAATACATTTATTAATTGTGAATATTTAATATGTGACATGAAATATTTGGAGATGACGAAAAGTACTCCAACTCAAAAGTCCACTTAACATTAAAAAAATAGGAGTGGAGCAAACACGGAACTCCATCCAATTTCATTTTTTTTAATAGTGTCTCTTGAATGTCTAACGAATTAATTGAAATTTTCACAAAAAAATATACTATTCGTAGAACTTCAAAACTTTTGTATACATCTGCTTCCAATTTGAATTTCATGACAAAGATTTGCTACACCAATCCGTACCAATAGTTTTGATATTACATTTTTTGAAGACCATTGAGAGTAACTGTGGCAAATCAAATTCACACGGAAATCTTCTTTTTATAATTTATTACCACGATTAAAGGCAAAACAAATCCACAAGGGTTAACATTCAGAATACCACATTGGCTAAAGTAATCAGATGGTTTCTGTTATGTATTCAATATTTCTTTAATGTAAACTCAATATAATAATTAAGATCACAAAAACTCTCATATATATATATATATATATATATATATATATATATATATATATATATATATATATATATATATGTATATAGTATTTAAGAAATATCTGGAAATAGAAACTTCTATAAAATTCTAGGTCATCACATTCTCTAAAGTCTTCTTGATAATTCATTCATGAAACATATAGAACATTCTAGATTTTACGTGTACATCATAAAATTTCTATAAGATACATGAAAATTGCGACAATTCGCAACAGTAACCACATAATTTTGTTGAATTCATATGTCTCTCAAACTTCCTTCAGTGTTTTGGGCAAAATGGAACTATTGTCGTTTCATATCAATTAAAACAATTTTGTATGGGGAAGCTAGAACAAAACTAATGTAACAATACCTCAGTTTTGATTTTTTATGATATTTCTGCAGGAATATGCGGAATATAGCAATTTTCACTATTTTTATACTTTTCTCAGTAAATAACATCGTTGAATGTTGTAAAAACAGGTA